GATGATAAGTTTCTTACAATATTTAGTTGTTTACATTAAAAGGATGTTGCCATTGTCGAACAAAATTTTCTAGAGCACTATTATAAGTGTTTTTCATTTTATTTTTTTTATTTACATGTTATATAAAATTATTATCTATTATAAGTCTTTTGATTATTAATGGTTAAGTTCAATATAGATGCTATATTCATGGTTTGTTTTGTTTTCTCTTACACGAATATTAATTATATCTTTATATTTTAATCGAATCAACATGATGATGACATGAACATATATAATTACACAAAATTAAAACCTCTTGACTAAATATTGTGTTCATGTTATATCCAAAGATCATATGCAAAATTATAAAGTATATGTCGTCACCAGCTATATTTTTGGTGAATGTTGACTTATTGAGAAATATACTACCACAAATAGGACCACTTAATTTTGATTTGACAAGCCCTTAAACTCATCCATTTGATATGTTTGATTTTTTTAGGCTAAAGTACTGAAAGATAAGGCAAATGGATGAAAATCAACCCTACTCCAAAGATATTACTTTGGATCTATGTCAGTTTTATTAACACCAAACCTCAAAATAAGGAGTGAAGCAGGGCGGAACGTCCCATGGCCTCTCAAAATTTTTAAAAATTTTTATATATTAGATATTTTTAAATAATTTTTTATTAAATAATTAATATAATTAAAAATAATAATAAAATAACCTTACAAACATTTTTTAATTTTACTCAAATTTTTAATTTTAAATTTCTCCATCCATATTTTCTCTTTTCTTTTCTATCTTATACTATAGAATTATAAAGGTAAAATTTTTATTTAAGTTATTTATTTATATATTATTATTATTTATATTTATTTATTTTTATCAATTCTATTCTATTTGCTCATATATTTTAAGTTTCTATAGATTTTCTCTTTTAAATTTTTACGAGTCATCAACCATATATTTTTTTTATATAGGTTATATTTTCTACTTGTCATGGTTTTTTATTTTTTGTTATGTGGATTTTATTTTTAATAATTTTAATTTTAAAAATTAAAAAATTATTGTATATGTAATTCTCAAATATAAGTTCTAGTGTTGCATTATTTGTTATTGTTTAAAATTTCACTAATATTATTTTTATTAATCTTAATTATATAAAAAAAATTATTTTGAGTATATGTTTTTAATGTGCTTTACGTTTTATGTTTAGTTGAAAGGAAAATATATCGAGTATAAGAAGAAATTATTAATTATGTATATTGTATTTAACTATTTATATTTTATATATTATGAGTTTTAATATTTAGTATTATAAACTTAAATATAATAAATAAGAATATTGAATGTTGACTATTAAATTTTTAGTTGTTTTATTGAGGAAAGGTAAAACTTCAAAACAAAAATGACTGATAAGTTTCTTACAACAATTTTAGTTGTTTATATTAAAGGATATTGCCATGATGTCGAACAAAATTTTCCTAGAACACTATTATAGTAAGTTTTTTTTCATTTTATTTTTTTAATTTACATGTTATATCATAAATTATTGGTTTATTATAAGGCTTTTGATTATTAATGGTTAAGTTCACTATATTAGTTTTAAAATTTTTAACTTTTATTCTTTTTAGCCTTTGGCCCCCTCAATAAAAATAGACTAGGCTCCACCCCTAGAGTGAAAGACTGTCAGGTCTTAGTTTGATGCATTATATTTAAGATTGTTTTGTTTCATCATAGTTGTCTTTGAGGCAAATGTTACTGACTCTTTATATGTATGGCTTTTCACATCAATAGATAGATGAATCTTAAGTTTATAAGTAAAAACTTTTTTCTATTTAATAAATATATCTTTTGAATTGAAAATA